CTTTGTATCAATTTAAAAAGCTAGGGATGCCAATTCTAGACAATGTTAACTCTACACATAAAAACAAGTTTGCCTCCCTCTCCTAAATTATCCTTACTAATCAGTGCATAGGACTATTTCTTAAGGGTCAGTATTTCAAAACTATTCCATTTCACTATCAACAACATAAAATTGTAGTTTACTTTACAGGTTTCCTCTTGCCAATTTATTCTTTAGTGAATAACGTGGAAATGAGATGAACTACCAAGATTATATGTGGCATTAATGCAAAGCAAAAATGCTGCCTAAAGCATGTTTTATATAACTGCAAATAAAAATGCTAAAAAAAAAAAAAAAAACCAGACACCTACTGAATCTTGTATTTTAACCTCCTCCACCTAAAGCAAGGATCCACATAGTCATTCTGAGCTTCCAAGTAGACTAAAGGGCTGGCCTTAAAGTGGGTTTCACCATCTTTCCTTCCAGTGAAATGGCCTTCTGAGTAAGGGGCTCACACATGACATCACTTTGGAAGGAAGGGGATGGGCAGGAGGGAAAACTATCAGATGACTGACTTCACGTTCAAATTCTTTATAGACGGCCTGAAACTGGTGCGTTTTCCACTGCAGGCAACACACAAAGTTTACTTTCTTTCCTAACTTTAATGCTGCCAGAATACACATGTACTTTTACTTTCTTAGGAGAAAATGTGTCATTTGATTTCCTTCCAGTTTATGTACTCGTGCCAACAACCAAAATGCTTAAAGAACCAAAATGAATTAGTACCCAGAAACGGTGGTCAAAGTTTCAAAATTTGATCAATAAAATTGCTCATCTACTCACAAATTAATCTTCAGCCAGTAAAATTACAAATTTTCGAGGTTATGAGTACACCTGCACTGTTAAGCATTTATTTCACTTGTTTAAGCAATCTTCAGAAATATATAAATATTTATAAAAGAGAGCCTAGGCTGGGTGTGGTGGTTCATGCCTATAATCCTAGCACTTTGGGAGGCCAAGGCGGGCAGATCACCTGAGGTCAGAAGTTCAAGACCAGTATGGTCAACATGGGAAAACTCTGTCTCTACTAAAAACACGAAAATTAGCTGGGCATGGTGGTGCATGCCTGTTGTCCCAGCTACTCTGGAGGCTAAGGCAGGAGAATCACTTGAACCTGGGAGGCGGAGGTTGTAGTGAGCCAATATCGCACCACTGCACTCCAGCCTGGGTGAAACAGCGAGACTCCGTCTCAAAAAAAAAAAAACAAACCATCAAACAAACAAAAAGCCTACTATTTTTACTCATCTGTAATTTTCTTTTTGCAGCAAAACCTTGTTAATTTGTTTACAACTCATAAACCTCCTGAAGGCAGGGTCTGTCTCTTCCATAGTTCTGTATCCTATGAACACCAGCACAACGCCCAGCTTGCTTTGGAAATGTTCAACCAACTTGCATTCAATTAATTCAGATCATTCTGATTCTGAATTTATGATGGGGCCAATTTTCAATTTTCATTTGTGTCATTCATAAAAAAATTTGCAAAGCAAATGAACAGAATAAGTAAAAAGATAATTTTGGGTTACTAAGTAGAATATTTCTCAAAAACCTCAGAAGCAATATCTATACCTGATTAATGCCTTCATTAATAAACCACATCACCCAAGAATGTGACCTGCTCAGATTTGGTTCAGTATGTGGATCTGCAAAGAGTGTCATTTCTCTCCTATTTACTCTCATCTCCTGAAATTAGAACAAATTGGTGATGTTTGACTACATTTTATGATCTCTATCGGGTAACCACTTATAGCCTCCTCTAACTTTCCATTTTCTTTTGTTTGTATCATCAGCCTGTGAAACCAGAGAGTGCTGCCAAACACAAAGCAGGGAAGTGTGAGATATGCTTAAAATATGAGTCACAGTATATTTGGGGATTTGGGTTTCTTTTTTTTTCCCCCTCAAGCTATCAGCAGATCAAATCCTTCTTCCCTGTCAAGCCTTCTTCTATGCAGAAGATCTGAAATTTGCTAAAATCGGTCTCCTAGTGTAGTTATGAAGGGTGAGAAGATCAGAGATGAGCACTGTTAAGATTTGCTGTAGGATTTCCCTTTCATTTCAGAGCCACTCCGACGGAGATGCCTCAGCGAGGATGCAGTATGGCAAGATATATTTAAATATGAAGGTTATTCCTTCTGTGAATCACCACGTCTATAGGCGTATTTTTATAATGAGGTAATATACCATGTGGCCTAGGATAGTAATTTCTCCTCTCTGTTTGTGGAAGGCCAGCCAACCTAATAAAGCTTACTGAATGTGCATGACCTATCAGGCAGCTGAGGGGTCCTTCGGCAATTGTCTATGAAGCAGACACACACACACCAGTCCGGCAGCCGTTCAGATTGTTCCCCCCCGGCCAACTTTTAAAGCTGGTCTAAATTCTCTGCTTGTCAACTCCTCTACTTGGGGGGTAGGGAAAAACTTAAGACATCTTCTTTAGTAAAACCAGCATTCAAGCTTACCCCCTCTCCCCCCACTTTTTTATACAGACTGAAGTGCTCAGCAGAATGTGTGAGGTTGGTTTTGACACTGTCCTTGCCAAGAAAAACAAAGCCCTCTATATCATACTCTTCTGCATGGTGGCTAAAAACCCTGTAACAGGCAAGAAGAAAAAGAGCCCTCAAAAGGAAATCCCCTGAAACTTTACTTCTTATATTTAGCCCTCAAGGAACTTCATTCAACTTGGAAAAGAAGTTACCTAAAAATGCCATATGTTTTTAAAAAGCAAGTATGAGGGAAAATAATTCTACCATAAAAAAATCACAAACGATATTCAATACTGAAGAGCAGTGTGATCAGACAGATTGTGTATGTGTGTATTTTTTTTATTATCTCTAACCAAAGCTCTACTATGTGTAAGATTTTTCCCCCCAATAATATATTTTCATTTTCCCAATGCACTTGAGGTCTGATGAATTCAAGAGGACTCGGGGTATTTTTAAGGCTGTGAGAGCCCCAAGAGGGAGGCAAAAAGAATGGACCATCATTTGAATCACTGAGTGACAGGCTGGGCTAGCTCCCTGTATACATTAATAAATTAGAATTTTAATTGTGTCTCTGTCCACAGGAGATGCCCTGGTACTTTAATATGTACCAACAATTGGCTATGTTATGGAATCTGCAATGTGGCCTCCGCTGCTGACCTCTGAAACACAATTCCCAGTCTGACTACGGAAACTGTTCAGTTTGATCCTTTCAACTTATTTGAATCCTGACAAATAAGCTCACAGCTGAAAGGTCAACATAGTCATATTTCATCCTCCAGAGCTGTTCTTAAGACATCTGCACAACAAAGCACTTCTTACAGCACCTGACATGGGCCCTCACTGGCACTGTACCTCATTAAAAATGTCCCCTGCATGCGCATGTATTCCAAGGCACATGGTCCGATGATGGTTTACCAAATAAGTGTTTACAGAAGAGTCAGTAAACAAGGCACGTTTTCAACTTTTCCAGTAAAGTGTCACTATAGTGCTGAAATCTCTCTGGAAAGTGACAGTCTCCCAAGTACATATAGAAGAACCAGAACTTGTTGGTCAAGGTCAGTTTGATCTTTGTGGATCATTTGGGAACAGGTTGTGGTTCACCCGGACCTCTGAAAAGTCAACACAAGCTAGAATTTAGGTTGACCTCATTATCCAATTAATTGGCACCAAGTTATACACCTATCAGCCCCGACTTACAGAGTCTGTCCCCTCCTGTGATAGGGGTGCCCATCTTCAGCTATGAATATAGTCTGAACCACTTAGGACCAGGGTGCCAAGTGCCCTCTCTGAAATGTGAGCATGAAGACCCTGGATTCAAGTTTCTTAGAAATTTCTATTACAATTTTCTACTTTGAGTCAAAAATCCAAATTAGATTTTTTTTTTTCTTTTTTTGAGATGGAGTTTTGCTCTTGTTGTCCAGGCTGGAGTGCAGTGGTACGATCTTGACTCACCTTCACCCCTACCTCCCGGGTTCAACTGACTCTCCTGCCTCAGCCTCCTGAGTAACTGGGACTACAGGCACCTGCCACCACACGTGGCTAGTTTCTGTATTTGTCACCATGTTGGCCAGGCTGGCTCCTGACCTCAAGCGATCCACCTACCTCAACCTCCCAAAGCATTGGGATTACAGGCGTGGGCCACCGTGCCCAGCCCAAATTAGATTTTTATAAATTTACTGCTTCTTCCACTCCATTAAACCCTTGCCTTCAATGTGCCTGAAATCAGAAGTTGCTGGAACAACCTTTTTTTGTCATCTTTACATACAAATTTCTTCCCATTTAAAAATGATTGACTTAGAAACATTCTGAACATATCCACTGAAGAACAGGGTATATCTTATAATCATTACAAGCTATAACATTAAAAGTAACACATCCTCCTCAGGCCTAGTCATAATTCTTGATTCTATTGACATTCCGGGATGAATCATGGTGTGTTGCATCCTGTGCATTGCAGGACGTTTGGCAACATCCCTGGCCTGTACCTACTGGATGCCAGCAACACCTCTGCCCTGCTAGTTGTGGCAAACAAAAATGTCTCCAATGTTGCCCATTGTTCCGGGGGTGGCGGGAGGTGGGGTGCACAAAATCTTCCCTATTGAGGATAACTGCACTAAATCAAGGTGTGTGTCTGTGTGTGTTTCTCCCATTTCTAGACCCAACACGAGAGAATGTGGTGACAATTCTAAGTACCATGAACTTTTCTCATTAGTAACCGACACTGCCTGTTAGCAGCTCAACACTTACAAGTCCTCATCCTTCCATTACATTCACTCATCAGGAGATCTTACTCCTGACAATAAAACTTTTGGGCAAATACACATTTTCCCCAAAATGTTCTACTTGGCTGGTAAACCAAAAATACACTTTCCACAGATTTTCTTACATGATTTGCAATTCTCAACACAATCCACTCCTGAATTGCTTATCAGTTATCCCGAAGGGTATAATGTCAATTTAAAAAAGAAAAAGAATTGTTACCTGAAGAGCTGGTTGTTTGTCATTCCTCTTGGGAGATTTTAATCCACTAACTTGCTGCTGCTGTTGCTGCTGAAGAAGGAGTTGTCTTGCCACCTGAAGTGCCTGGAAAGAAAAACAGAAGAAAATCCTTTGCATTACTATACAGGTTCAGGGGACTCTTCATAAAAAAAGGATTCCAGGAAGTGCACTTTGGGGCTGGGTCCTGACTTTCCTATTTCCTGGCAAATGAAACAGCAAACAAAACTTCCCACCAGTCTTAGTTGGAAAACTTTCCAGAATTTGTTTGCATTTCCTTTGACTGGGCCAATTTCATCCACAGTTCTACAGGCATCTAAGCAGACATTTTATTACATTTTATTCCTACTAAAAATCTGACATGAAATTTAAGACCATGAGTGATTGGGACTCTGCAGAAGGATGACAGAGAGACCAGGAGGGAACCAGGCAAAGAAGAAAACTTGGGAGACACTACAGGGCCCCTTTCAGGGGCACCTTCATCTTCCCCCAATTCTTGGGGAAATGTGGGAACTCAAGTTGAAAGTAATACTTTCACCCCATCTGAGTCTAAATAAAGAGAAAGAACTAAGTGGTGGACCACAGGAAGAATATACACTATGGGTTGGGCTATCTAGGAAGGAAGATGAAACAGATGGGACATATCTAGGATGATCTTGACATTGACCTAGAATTTGAGAGGAAAATTTGGTAAATCTGACCTCTAGTCATCTTAAAAAGCTGTCTTAAGATGACCTCAAGTCATCTTGAAAAGGGCTATCTAGGAAAGAAGATGAAACAGATGAGACATAAGGATGACCCTGACCTTGACCTAGAATTTGGAGAGGAAAATACGGCAAATCTGGCCTCTAGTCACCTTAAATAGGAATATTATGTATCTCTGAACAAAACTGGATATGTTTATTACAAATGACCCTTTCAAGTTTACAATATGGGATGGTTTTTCCCTAAAGGTAGACATTGGGAGGTAGTATGAATTGGAGATAAAGCAAGAAGAAAACAGAAGACTTCTCCAAAATGTTTAATATATGACTGACAAATCTTTTTAAAAGTTCAAGTAGGCTGGGTATAGTGGCTCATGCCTGTAATCCCAGCGCTTTAGGAGGCTGAGGTGGGTGGATCACTTTAAGGAGTTCGAGATCAGTCTGGCCAACATGGTGAAATCCCTTCTCTATTAAAAAGACAAAAAATTAGCTGGGCATGGTAGCATGAGCCTGTAGTCCCAGGTACTTGGGAGGCTGAGGCAGGGGAATCACTTGAGCTGGGGAAGCAGAGGTTGCAGTGAGCCGAGATCACACCACTGCACTCCAGCCTGGCAACAGAGCAAGATTCTGCGCGTGTGTGTGTGTGTGTGTGTGTGTGTGTGTGTGTGTGTGTGTGTGTATAAAAATTAGCTGGGCATGGTGGCAGATGCCTGTAATCCCATCTACTCCAGAGGTTAAGGCAGGAAAATCGCTTGAACCTGGGAGGTGGAGGTTGCAATGAGTCGAGATTGCACCACTGCACTTCAGCCTGGGTAACAGAGTAAGCTCCCATCTCAAAAAATAAAATAAAATAAAAGTTCACGTAAAAAGGAAATACCAATGCCATCAATAAACCCCCATGAAGACATTTAATGCCAAGAAATTAAGAACAGGAATAATGGCTAGCCACACACCTTTCCAAAGATAGCAGAACGATCAGCAACAGAAAACTAAAGTTTGCAGATATTGTGCTAGAAAGTCATATGAAAAGTTGGGTTACTTGAGAACCAAGAAAGTACACATGGCAGAGATGTCCAGAATACTCATTAAATGATGTGCTTAGAGTTTAGAGACAAAATGAGCCTTCTTGAGTGTTACATCCATAATAATTTCTATATGGTAACCAAATTATTTATGCATCAAAGAAGAGGCACACACAGATTTAAGTCAATGCATCAAAAGGACCTGAGGCTATAGTCTTAGAAACTTAGCATAATGGACTTATGATGGTAGTGTGTTCCTTAAAAAGAAACAGGTGTTTCATTTATAAAGAAAATACATGTATATTTACAAGAAAAGTTACAAGGGAAATGGTGGAGTGGAAGAGAGGTAAGAGCGCCTTGGTGTCCCTGTAGATTGAACTCAGAAGAAAGAGAAAACAGAGTGGGTCAAGAGGATTCGTGGTCATGAGCAAACACCTAAAAATGTGGAATGTGCGGAACAGTACTTCTAAAAGGACAAGCTCACTGAACTGCGTTCATAACTATAGTTGTAACAAAGGATATTTTTAAGACACTGTGTAAGGTTGAGTGGCACCTTTGTGTTTAAGAGGTGCAAAGGAAAGCTAAGAAACAGAAGCACCGATAGATGAGTGACAAAGAAAGGAGCATGGGAAAGTGGAACCCTGCTATCCCACCTCCCTACTGCATTCACCCCCATGTCCCAGGGAGGCCTTCTGCCTACTCAACTCATCACGACCAGACCTTCAGATGCAATGTACGGGCTAGTTCATCTGTGAAGGGAGAAACAGATTCGACAGAACCTCCCTGGAAGAGCCTCGAGAAAAGGGGCTGTCTGAGTGGGGCATCTGGAAGCCAAGGCGCCTGGGAGAGTTGCCTGAGACTCCAGCCTGCTGTCTCAGGGAGGATTCACCATCACTGGACTCCGGGTTTTCTTGTCTCCTTGGAGACGCTCAGTACATGCGTAGGTGTAAAAGTGGGCAGAGTGAAGATTTCATTTATATCATATAAGAAAAATAGTCCCCTTTGCAAGGTGCCTGCAGGAGCAAAAGCCTCTCCTCCTACTATGTATGTTCCCTTAGCTATTTCACATGAAGGTTTTATGGCTTTTAATGTAGAAAAGGGAACTGTTATATATTTTAAGTGCTATCTTCAGAGTTCTCAGAGTAATAGACTGATCAGCAAAGAGGGGTTTGGTTGTCAGCTGGAAAGGCAGAGAGAGGGACTGTAGATGACAGTGCAGAGAAAAATATGGTGGGAAAGAGGAGAAAGGTTACATCCATTTAACAGTAAAATAAAGCAAGCAAAGAAAAACAAAGTAAGGAAGACCCCCTATAACTTACCACATTTCACCAAATACTGGGAGAAAGGGTACTCAGTTTTTAAACAGCCAAGTCTCAGAGAAGCTATAGTCAACTCTTCATTTCAGCAAAGTGTCTTTAAGAAAAACATTCACACAAAACTATTCTTTCCTCTTTTTCAGAGGATTCTTGCTCTGTCGCCCAGGCTGGAGTGCAGTGGCATGATCTCAGCTCACTGCAACCCACCTCCTGGGTTCAAGCAATTCTCCTGCCTCAGCCTCCTGAGTAGCTGGGACTACAGGCACTTGCCACTACACCTGGCCAGTTTTTGTATTTTTAGTAAAGACGGGGTTTCATCATGTTAGCCAGGCTGGTCTCCAACTCCTGACCTCAGGTGATCCACCCGTCCTGGCTTCCCAAAGTGCTAAGATTACAGGCATGAGCCACCACACCTGGCCATCACAACACTATTCTCATATGAGCATGGTTTCATAAATGTACATAAGCAAAAGAAAGTACAGAACTTAAAGCTAAGTTTTCAACAAACGCTTACTGAGCTGGTTCTACAGAATGATCATATATTTCAATATAAGCTATTGGAATCCTCAGATTTATTTTTCTGGTTGGAAGGGGGTAAAAAAGTCATGTATAATATATTTTTTTCAGACCCCACGTAGGGTACATGAACTTAAATAACCATGTTGTAAACCCCAGCTTCTTCATAGCATTTCATACAGAGGCCCACTAAAGATGACAATCTAAGATAAACGCATGGGGGAAAGGGCTTGCAAATTTGTACGAACCCAAGGGAAACTGTAGCTGACCTACTGAACAGAGAACACCATAAGAAAGACAAGCAAACTGGCTTCCAAATTTCAGCTCCCAAATGAATAAACACAGGTAAAATAACTTTAAATATTTGGGATGGGGAGATAACATTAGTGCAGAAAATAATTCATTTTGATATGAATTATCCCACAATAATTCCCCAGCTTTATCCTGGGTACGTTAACAGAGTAGGAGCAAATTACTATCCATATCCTCCCCAAATTAAAATCCATTTAAAAATTGCCTTAGGTCTCAGCAAGAGTTTTAAAACCTAACTGAACAGAACTTATAACATGCTTTGAAATCAACCACTAAAATATGTTTTCTGTTCTAATTTCCATGATATATAAATCACTGTGGTCTAGATTTTAAATTGTCACATGCAAGAAGAGGCAATAAACCCTTAGTGTATAAGACTATGTATCTGGGCATTACAATACACATCTCTGGCATCTACCATTTGTAAAAAGTAACAAGTGCTAATTGTAATGCTCACTGTTGATTAGTGGAAAATGTGGAATGACTGATGGGATCCCCTGTGGAAACTATGTCAGAGACCTATGTTCATCATGTTTCCTGTAGATGATGACTCGACAGCCATTTTTACCTGTTATGTGCATCAGAACAAATTATGTCCTTCATCTCAGACTACACTGCCTAAACCCCAGTGATAATCTTCTTTTTTTTTGAGGCAAGGTCTCACTATGTTACCCACATTGAAGTGCAGTAGCACAATCACAGCTTACTGTAGCCTTGACCTCCTGGGCTCCAGCAATCCTCCCATCTCAGCCTCCTGAGTAGCTGGGACTACTCAGGAGTAGTCCATACCCAGCTGATGTTTTCATTTTTGTAGAGACTGGTCTCACTGTGTTGCCCCAGCTGGTCTCAAACTCCTGGGCTCGAGTAATCCTCCTACTTTGGCCTCAAGCAATCCTCCCACTTTGGCCTCTCAAAGTGTTGGGATTACAGGTGTGAGCCACTGCGCCCAGCCAGAGATTATCTTTATTCCAATACAGTCGAGGAGTGAGAACGGACTTTTCTTTATAACAATATCTCAATCACAATTGGAGAAAAG